TACACAAGTCCCATGCAAACTCAGGCAGACATAGAAGTGGGAAAATGAACAACAGACTTCAATATTATCTGAAGAAATATTGGCAACTGATTGCTTCTAGATGAAGAAGAGCTGATTTTCCTAAAAACAACAGACTCTAGATAGGTTGACTAGACCAGTGGATGGATTTGCACTGGGAAAGTCTGGGGACATTGACTTGACACAGTGGGCCTTAACAGGGATGGTAGAGTATATAGGTTCCAGTTGGGAGGCTATGGAATGGTGCCGGTGAGGATGGCGGTATAAAGATGATTAAGATTGTTTGAGATGTTCTGTATGAAATATGCAAAAATTCAATAAGAACAAATTTTAAAAATGTTAGTTTCTACTAAGCCTTTTTCTTTGGGGTCAAGTAAAAAAAAAAAAAAAATGATGTGACGGTATGACCAATAGCCTAGGAGTGAAAACCTTGTAAGCAAATTTTCACAGGAAGACGCAGAACATCCTCATTGTACTTTGACTAGTCAGCAGGGCACCACACTGTAATAAAATGTTAGTGCTAATGGCTTTTCATCAACAGCATCACTGTCAGTTTGTTTATTTTAGGCAAGTACTGTATCACTGAGCAAAATCTCCAACCTCTCAGCTTCATCCTGTGTGTGTGTGTGTGTGTGTGTGAGAGAGAGAGAGAGAGAGAGAGAGAGAGAGAGAGAGAGAGAATGTGCATGCTATGGTGCATGTCGTAGAGGTCAGGTGGTCAGAGGACCCAGCACAGGTGTGGAGGTCAGAAGACTTGTACCCTTTGAAACATGGTCTCCTCGTTGTTTGCTGCTGCAAAGTCCAAACTATCTGGCCTGATAGATTCTGGGGATTCTCCAGTCTCCACCTGCTATTTCACCCTAGGAATACTAGGAGTATAGATGCATACTACAGCACCCAGCTTTATGTGTTCTGGGGATTGGACATCATTCCCTCAGGCTTGGTTGGCAAGTGCTTTATGCACTGAGCCATCTCCCCAGCCTGGCATTCATTTTAACCTCATTTTTCCTCTATTACTATTTTTAAAATAATGTGCTCTTCAGTTCAATGAATTCTATCATTCTCCGTTTTATCTAGCCTTTCTAGCTACTTTTAAATATTTAATGCTTTAAAATGAACAGAATCATATCTAATAAACTACTTGCCCAAAGCACTTTGTTAAAATTTTTTAATTACTTGAAATGATTAATGTAAGTTTCAAAGATCGTTTTACCTCTGTCTAGCTGTGGCCCAATAAGTAATTAATCTTACAAAAAGGAGGAGCATGAGAACCATGAATGCTTGGAATTTAAAGGAAAGGAACTGAAGTATGGAAGAGTAGGTTCCCGAGGAAGGGGCCAGGTCTCATTCTCTGCTTCTCCTCCCACAGTCCACAAAGAAGAGAAATAGCATTTAGAAAGTAGATTTGTCAATCATAACATGAGGGGATGATTATGTAACTTCAAACATCTTTGCATTTAACAAGCTAGAAACCCAGAGCTTTATATTTATTGAACTACACACATGCCTTTTCTAGGTTTCTTGTTTACAATAAACTTTGTTGCAGAATATTTCAATTTATGAATTCCAGCCAGGCTGCTCTGTAATAAGACTACAGCCTCTTTGGGTTTTAAAGCTTTTTGACATTTAAAGATGTTTACTTTGGGCCTCTAAAAAAAAAAAAATCAGAAAATGTTCCCCTGATATAATAAAAAAGGTTGATCTATTGTACCTTAAAAAAACATAATATGAAAAATCCCTAGGCGATGAGTCTTCTTTGTAGTAGAATAACACTCTTTTCTTGCTTCTTTGACAAGTGGCTCTGTTATTTATAAACTTGACTTACATAGGATATTATATAACTATTACCACATTTTTTTGATAAAAGGTATCGGATAAGCCAGGCATGGTGGTGTGCCCCTTAAATCCCAGCCCTCCTGAGGCAGACGCAGATAGATTTCTGTGAGATCAAGGCTACCCTGGTTCACATTGTGACTTCTGGGTGGGCTGTGACTAGAGAGACCCTGTTTAAAAAAAAAAAAGGCAACCAAGGTGTTAGATAAATGCTTTGCCTCAAAAGGCTAATTCAGAAGTCATTTTCTCTTGCCCTACTATGTAAAGTACTTTCTAGAGCAAACACAGGCCCAAGGCACATACCCAGCAAGAACTACAGATGCTCAGAACACACAGCAATTGGTTTAAAATTTCAGCTGTGTTGAAAAAAAAAAGCTTTTCTTTTCAGTAACCACATTGGAGAAAGTCATTCCAGTCACCAAGTAGGAGAAAACCAGACTTCAACCAAACCAGTATCAGCCTGACTATAGTAATGAATTTTACAATATGGACATGCTCTGAACAAAGGAACAAATGATTCTTCCTTAACCTTATGAATAAAATGGTAATCTTAGCTTAGTTTTTTTTTAATGTAAACAAGCCTACTAAGCCTTGAGCTCCTCTTGAAACCTAAAGCATATAACTCTAATCCCTCATGACCCTTCCTTGAACTTGACCCCAAATAATGTATGAATGTATGTGTGTGTGTCTGTGTGTGTGTCTGTGTCTGTGTCTGTTTTCCATATTCAAGAAAGCATAGCAAACAGCTTCTTTATTCCTTGGAAACGAAGAAGGTATGAAGAGTATCTCATGTGTGAGACAAAAAATAGATAGGATTAACATCTGTTTTGGTTGTGTGTGTTGGTCTAAATCTAGGGATCAGAAAAGGTAAAATCCTTCCCTGATAAGATAAGCATCTGACTTTTACTTCCCCAATTTACGGTAGATTTATTGTTTGAATAAAAGAAAGAGCTAGGCTTTGGTTCAGGAGCACAGTTGCGAGAGAATTCTGAAGGAACAGGTTCATAGCAGTTTGGGTCTGCTCTTGGCTTAAAATGGATGCTAACAGTCAGGCTGCTTTTATTCAAGTATAAATATAAAGTGGCATCACATAATTAACACCACACCTGATAACCTCCTCTGGGAAACAATTTGCTTAAATGAGCTAACTCTACTTAAACTTCAGAGTCAAGTCAGATTTCAAGTTGAGAAAGGAAAACTGCACAAATAAGAAAGAACAAATCTCTCACAATAGTCTGTCCCCAACACAGACACCAGTTCTAGCCCTGGCCATTTTTCTATCTCAAGGGGCCTTAAAACTCCAGTGTTTTATATATATATTTCCATCTGCTGGAATTCAAGTTCTTGGGCTAATTTGTTGGTTTGTGATCATTTGTATATTTAATATTTTCATCCCCACAATCAGTAAGTTTTTAAAACTTATTCTATGGATGAGAGTTTAGAGATTTCATTCAAGAAACCAATTTTTAGCTGTTAGTACTGGCTGTCTAGAGGTCTGACTTGAGAGTCCTGAGACTGAGCATGCTGGGAAGGTATAAGGTCATGATTTCATGTTGTCCACTAGCCACAGGTACAGGCCTGTCAAATCCTCTGGGTTGCATGCATAGATAATTAATAAACATCATGTTTCAGAAAACCATTAAATAAATGGTTTTATGCAATAAAATGAAGCTTTAAGAAATGGCTAATGGGCTGGAGAGATGGCTCAGCAGTTAAGAACACTAGTTATTCTTGTAGAAGACCTGGGTTCAAATCCTAGCACCCACATGGCAGCTAACAACTGTCCATAACTCCAGTTCCAGGGGATCCAACAGCCTCTTCTGTCCTCCGTGGGCACTGCACAACATGGGCGCACTTACCTATATGCAGACAATACACACATACACATAAAATAAAAATAAATAAAATATTTTTTAAATGGCTAACGGCTAATAGACACTGAGATCTCTATGTCCTTAAACATGGCTGCTTTCCTTCTTTAACCCATCAATTTATCTTTTACCTAAAATACTTCAGCAGCCCATCAGGTTTTCCCTTCTGTCTCCAGCTTCTAAGTCATGTTGCTGTTGAAAGAGACTCTTACAACACTGTTGGCTCATGTTTGCCTTTTCCATTCCTGGATCCTTATTGTCATTAGGTTGTCTTGTGAACACACAACCCAACTGTGTAAAAACTAACCCAGAGCAGGTAGAAGAAGGAACTGAGATAAAGTCTAAAAGCATAGAAATTTCACTAAATGAGATCACAGAAGAAAATTTCTCAAAAAAGAAATAAACATCCAAACCTCAGAGACATTTATAATCTCAAATATACATGACTAGAAGAGAACTTCTCTTTTACTTATCATAGGCAAGATCTGGAAAACATAAAGCAAAAAGTGATGTTAAAAGACATAAGGAAGAAATACCAACTCACCCACAAGAGAAACTCATCATAATTATATGTGATCTCTCATTATCAACCCTGAGAAAAAGGCAAACATGGACTGGTATATTTCAAATCCTGAAAGTCAATAAGTCTCAACTAATATTATTATACCCAGCAAAACTTCCTCTTAAAGTAGATAGAGATGTACTAACATTAAAGACAAGCACAAATTAAAGGAATTCATGACAACCAAGCTAGCACTGAAGATATTTAAAGGGAGATTATACATAGAGAAAGAAGAAAGACAGCTTCATGTATAAGAGAACAAGAAAGCATACCTCTAGTGAAAGGAGCAGATGAATAGAGAAAAGCTGGGAAGGAATTCATTATTTCCAACACAGTAAACCAGCAAACTTCTAATAGTATAAGAAACAGAAGAAAATAACTACCAATAATTTACCCAATCTGAAAAACAACTAACAAAACTATAGGAAGTAGCAAATCCACCCCAATTATAACCTTACATACAAATGCCTCAACTCACCAATTGAAAGATACAGACTAACTGACTACATTAAGTAACAAGATATCAGTCTCTCTTGTCATCAAGAAATACACTGGGCACATTGGCAAAGAGACTGAAAAATTGAGACTTGAAAGATGTAAATTAACTACCAAGCAAACGGAAGCCATAAACAAGCTTCCAGAGCTATTCTTATATCAGATAAACTGGTTAGAACAGAAAAAGAAGGCACTACATATTAATAAATCTAATAACTCACCAAGAAGATGTAACAGCTGTAAATTCACACCAAATCTTGAAGCTCCCAGTTTCTTAAAATAAACAATAAAAGGCATGAATGGTCAGATAGGTCCTGATACAATAATAATGGGAGATTTTTCAGTACTCAAGCCTCATCTTTAGATACATAATCCAAACTAAAAATTGGTTTAAAATAAAAACTTCAAAGTTAAGTTATCATAGATCAGCTGGATTTACCTAATGTACAGACCAGGAATGGACAGGAAATATACATGCTTCTCAGTGGACAGTCTCTAAAATTGCTCATAATTTAGGGCACAAAGAAAGCGTTAACACATAAAAAATAATAAAATTCCTTTTTTTTTTATCAGACCATAGTGGGATAAAAGTAGAAATCAACACCAAGAGGAACCCCCAAAATACACAAATACTTGGAGGACTGAACAATGTACTTTTGAATGAACACTGGGTCATTAAAGCAATGAAAAAGGAAATTTTTTAAATTCTTAGACTCAAATGAAAATATGAGCTACCTCTCAAATATAGCTGAGGCAGCTCTAAGAGGAAAGTTCACAGCTACGAGTGCCTTCATAAAAATCAAAGAGACATTTTGATTGTTAGCCTTAGCCTTTAACAGCTGTGCCATCACTCCAGCGCAGAGTCAACTGGAATGGATCTAAATGCCACAAAACCATATTGTATGAAAATTGCAAAAATTCAACTAAAAATACAAAATCAAATCAGAGAGATATTGAATAAATAATATAACGGCACAGTTTAAGGTTCTAGAAAGAACAGGAAGAAGCCAAGCCCAAATGCAGAAGATGGTAAGAAGTAAGACTATAGGGCAGAAAGGGATTAAAGACTAAAAGAAGAATGAGCAGGATTAGCTAAATAATGAGTTAGTTATTTGAGAAGGTAAAGAAGATTCACAAATCCCTACTCAAACTAAAAAAAAAAAAAAAGAGTGAGGACCCAAAGTAATAAAATTAAAGATGATAAGAGAGTTGTGACAGTAGACTTCTTAGTGAAATCCAGAAAAATCATTAGGGAATTTTTTAAAAACTTATATTCAAACTTTGGAAAATCTAGAGTAAATTCATAAGTTCCTAAACACACATGACCTACAAATCAAGAAGACAAACAACTTTAACAGACCACTAACAAGCAATGGAAATACAGCAGTAATTAAGTCTCTCAGCATGAGGGCATGATAGTGCACATCTTTAATTCTAGCACTCAGGACCAGACACAGGTGAATTTCTGTGAGATTGAGGCCCACCTGGTCTATATAGTGCGTTCCAGGTTAGCTGGGGCTATAGGGAGATTCTGTCTCCAAAAGACAAAGCAAAAAAAAAAGTCTCCCAACAAAGAAAAGCCCAAGAAAGGGAGGATTCACTGGCCTGTTACAGTAAACCTTTGTGGGCAGAGCAAACACCAACACTTCTCAAACTCCTCTGCAAAACAGAACAAAAAAGAACACTACCAACTCATTCTACAAAGTCAATATTACCCTATAACCAAAACCAGATAAAGACATAACAAACAACAACAAAACCCCTCCCAAAACAAACAAAAAACAAGTTTAGAAAAAAAAAAATCTCTGTTGAACATAGATGCGAAGATCTCAGTAAAATCGGGAACATATTGAGAAGATCCTATCATGATGAAGTTGATTTCATTCCAGGGATGTAAGGTTGGTTCTACATATTTGAATCAGTAGATGTAAGGAACTGTGTAAACAGACTCAAGGATAGAAATTACATAGTCATGTCAGTAGACCCAGAAAAGACATTTAATGCAGGTCAGCATGCCTTCATGATAAAGTTCCAAAGAAATTAATGGAAGAAACGTAACTGAATATTATAAAGGCTCTATGCAACAAACACAGCAAACATTGCAGTAAATGGGGAAACAGAGAGCATTTCTTTTGAAATCTGGATTGAGACACAGTTTCCCACTCTCTTCTTCATTCTTATTCAACATTGTGCTGGGTCTTACCTACAGCAGTAGAACAAGAGAAAGAAATATAAAGAATACAAATATAAAAGGAAGAAGTCAGGGCTGGAGAGATGGCTCAGTAGTTAAGAACACTGGCTTTACTTTCAGAGGACTGGGCTCAGATTCCAGCACCCACATGGCAGCTAACAACTGTTCATAACTCCAGATCCAGGGGATTTTTCGCCCCCTTCTGGCCTCTGCAGGCATTGCAACTGGTATACTTACACACATGCAGGCAAAACACTTAGACACATGAAATAAAAATAATTCTATTTAAAGGAAGAAGCCAAATTACTCCCATTTGCAAATGCCATGACCCTATACTAAAAAGATCCTATGTACCCTATCAGAAAACTCTAGATCTAAAACTGTTGGCAAAATTACAGAATACAAAAAAACTCAGCATACAAAAATCAGTATCTTTTCTATATATCAATAAATTCACTCACTGAGAAGAAGTTAGGAAAAGTCCCATTCACAATACTTTCAGAAAATAACATAAAATAAAATGTCTAGGAAGAAACCTAACCAAAACAGGGGAAGGCCCTCTACAATGAAACTTGAAGATGCTCAAGAAAGAAGCTGAAGAAGACACTAGGTGATGGAAAGACTTTGCGTGCTCATAGATTGTCAAGACTAATATTGTGAAAATGGCTGTATCAACAAAATTGATGTACAAATTCAATGCAATACTCAGAAAAATTTTAACATTCTTTAAAGTATGCAAAAAACCAATCCTAAGAAGAAAGAACACTGTAAAGAATCACAGTCTAAATGCAAATTATATTACAGAGCCATAGTAACAATGACATCATGGAAGAGACACAAAAACAGATGTGTGGGCCAATGGAAAAGAACAGAGAACTCATGAATATCCCACATAGCTACAACCACCTAACTTTTTAACAGAAGTGTCAAGAATATACAATGGGAAAGGGACAGCTTCTTCAATGTTTCTGGGAAAACTGGATATCTACTTGGAGAAGAATGAAGTGGAATCTGTATCTCTCACGCTATTAAAAAAATCCAAAATTTATTAAAGATCTCAATATAAAATGTGGAATGCTGAAACTGCTAGAGGAAAACAGGGAAAATACTCATGAAATTAACACAGGTGAGAACTTTCTGAAGAGGACTCCAATAGCACCAGGAATAATCTCAAGAACTGGCAAACAGGATTATATGAGACTTAAAAGCTGTCACCAATCTTGATTACCTGAGTTTCATCTTCCAGACCCATACAGTAGAAAGAGGGAACCGACCACTGCACTCTGGCCTTCAGACATGTGCCATGGCACATGGGTGCGAGTGAGCAGACACACAATAAACAAATACAATTTTAAAAATATTCAAAATATTTTGATATTATATTTCACCCAAGTCAGAATAGCTAACATCAAGAAAACCTATGACAGTCATTGGAGAGATAGCTTGCTATGTATAGATTGCTGTGCAATCCCACATATATGGTGGGGGGGGATATTGAAGATGAAGACAGGATACTTGACAAGCTCTAGGCCAATGAGAGGGCCTGTCTTTAAAAACAAAAGGTGAATGGCCACTGAGGAAAACTTGAAGTTGACCTCTGGCCTCCACATGAATGCACACGTGTACAAACACATACATGGGCATCCACACGCATCCACACACATACACAAACACACACAGGACCTATGACAACAAATACTAACAGGGATGCAGGTAAAGAGGAACCTCACTCTCTGCTGGAGAGTACATGAGCTGGTTCAGAAAAAAGAGGCCTTATGAGGGGGGAGAGGGGCGAGGAGGATGAAAGAAAAGAAAGGTAATAGAGTATTTGGGACATAAAATGAAAGGAGACTGCTTGGATGAGGTAAAGAGCCAGGAAGCAGGAGGGCAGGGGGGACAGGGGAAGTGAGGGAGGGAAGCAGACCAACAAAAGAAATATGCATGAGAATGCTATGTGAACCATTACTGTGTATGCTAATTTAAAAAGCTAATTAAACAACAAAACAAAACAGAAATATCCATGGCAGACAGACTGATCATCAATGTGTGCCTGGCTGGTAAGTAGGTAACCAGGTAGATGGATAGACCTCAGATACCCACCCAGATGACCCACATTTCTCAACTTACCAGTTATATTATTTTCCATTTCCCTGAACAATTAGCTCAGCTTCTTTCCTTTGGCACATAGATCATGATATTCTTCTTTTTTTAAAAAATGTGTTTCATATTTGGGGTGTGTGTGTGTGTGTGTGTGTGTCTGCTCACATGCCATGGCACATATGTGGAGGTGAAAGGGTAAACTGTAGGAACTGGTTCTTTCCTTCTACCACGTGGCTCCACTGGATCAAACTTGGTTGTCAATGTTGGCAGCAAGCATTTTAACTGCTGAGCCATCTTGCCAGTCTGATGATTTATCTCTCTTAAAACCTTTGATTTTGTCACAGGTTTAAGGAGAAGACAACCCCAGCAACATGCTCAGAAGAGTAAGGGCATTACTACATGGAGAAACAGATGGAAACGATGTCTTGTCCCTCATCAAATTTCCTTTACTAAGAACAACTTCCTCAGCAGAACAAGAACTATCTTTCCCCATCTGGCCCCTGCTGCCTCGCTCAGCTTCAGACCACCTGCTCTCCACACCACTCATTCTCCAAGAATGAATTTGACCACATCGTGGTGTTTCAAGAGTTCCAATAGCTTCCTGTCTTTTCACATGCTGCCTTTATTTTTTAAACTACTTGGAAAAACTTGAGCATGTCTTTAAAAACTGAGCTCATGAATTATCCTTCATCATATCCTGGAAAATATTAATCATTATCATCCCTGGGTTAAGTCTATGTCTCTCATAATTATTTCTATAGTTACAAATAATTATATGTTTCTAAAATTAAAGTAGTATCTATGAACAAAATCTGTGTTCATTTCCTTTTTTATTTTTCTTTGTTGGGGTGGGGTCTCACATAGCCCAGGTTAACACTGAACTTGCCAAGCAGCTGGGGATGACATTAAACTCCTGATCCTCCTGGGAGTGTCCAGACCCCTCCCCCTGTCCCCCAGGTGTTTCTGTTTTCTAAATACCCAA